ATATTTTACTATTATTTGTAGTTTTTTAAAAATATTTGTTGTGCTGCGTTTTGATAAATAATATGGTAACAAATCAAAATTGAATAAATAAAAAACAATAGATAAATAATCCACTTAGCAGATATGGTATAAATATGACATTTATATTAAAAAGAGATTATAAGGATAAACAGAAAGTTTAAAACCAATTTAAAATACAAATATTACGAATAAATAACCACTGTTTAAATCATCTGGATCTGTGTGAAGTCCATAAAATACATTTAGTAAATTATTATAAAGAATATATATTTGACTATTTATTTAACAATTCAAAAATACAATGCAAATAATCCTATTCAATTCAACTTTAGATGTTTGAAAAACAGATTAAAGGGATTTTAAAACCTCATTTTTAAGGAACTTTTTCAAAACCCTTTAAGATATCAAACGTAAGATATTTATACAAAATTAACACCTATTTTTTACACTTTCAAAGACGTTTAAAGGACGGATTTTAGACCAATTAAAATCATATTTTTCTTATGCTTTTTAACACTTTTTTCAAGGCTCTGCAGAACCGTAGTGTAAGAAGAGGCCTTCAAGTCTTAATAAATGATAATTAAACTTTTTTAGCACACCATTAAAACCTTGAGACATGCACTTACATTTTGATATCCAAATATTCCCGTTACATAAAAATCAAATGTACAACCACCCCCCCCCTCTCTATGCTGTATCACATTATATCGCATCAGGCCTCAAGAGTTAGGATACAGTAATCAGTGGAGAAAACATCAGCTGTTTCCACTTCCACACACACACACACACACACACACACACACACACACACACACACACACACACACACACACACACACACACACACACACACACACACACACACACACACACACACACACACACACACACGCGCACACACACACACACACACACACACACACACACACACACACACACACACACACGCACAGTTGTGACTCTGATTAATTGTCCTTATTGCTTCAGACTGACTCAGTGTCTCCGAGCATCTGACCCAATTACATGAAGTCTGTCATGAGGTCCGGAGGTTCTGAACTCACTTCGGTGAGTCACTTCGGGTCACTCAAAGGATTAACACTTGAATATATAACATTTCTGAATAAAACTGAACATTAAATATTAACTATATGCAGGAGACGTGACTCTGCACCCAGGATTCAAACGTATGATCTATAACATTTCTGAATAAAAGTATTTATTTAATTTTTTACTTTATTTGTTAGTTTGTTCCCCGTGTAAAGGGGCCTTGGGTCCCTTGAAAGGCGCTATATAAATGTAAATCCCTTTTTCTCAAATTTCTAAATTATTTCTCAACATTTTAAAATTGTTCTCAAAATTCTAAATTGTTTCTGAAATTCTCAAAATCCAGTTTTTTTTTTCTCAAAATCCAGATTTGTTCTCATATCAGATGTTCCTGTCCTCCTGCAGTCCGTAACAGAGGAAGCTGTAAACCATCCCATCAGCTCAGAGAAGCCTTCATTTAATGGTCTGTCCCGATTAAATCACAGAACTCTGTTCACATGGAGACGAAGAGCAGCTTCACTTCATCACATTACACTTTAACCAGGTACAAAAACACGTCTAAAAACAGAGAGGAGACGCTTTGTTCCAGATGGTGAGTTAATCATGTAAAGTGAAGGAATACATGAAATAAACTGACAGCTGCTCTATTACAGAATACAATCAAAGATAACATATCATTAAAATATTTCAAGGTAAAGTGAAATGTCCAATAAAATATGTATGTAACACAAGACAAGGACAATAACAGGCTAGAATAAATCCTCCAATAAAATATAAAAAAATAATTCAAATAATTTTAGTCAAAGAAATTACAGAATAAAATAATATGGAAATATTTTGTATAAACTCAAGAACTTAAAATAAAACATAAAATGATAGATAAAGAATTAAAATAGAAGTACGTCTCTTAGTTCAGTTTTATCTCAGAAATGTTATATATTAGATGTTTAAATCCAGAGGTGTAAAGTAAATATGCTAAGTGCATTTGGATCCAGTAAAGAGTTGAAGTTGCTCTGATGACTTGTGTTTTAAAGCAGAAGTCTCAGAGCAGCTCTCTGGACCGACTTGTTGACAGAAAGTGATATAATGACCTAAATGTGAGTCTGATGTTCCCATGAGAGCGGATCCTCTCCCCGGACCTCCTGATGGGATTATCACGCCTGTTACTGTCAACGTGGAGCTCAGGGTCAGACACAGTTACACATGAGAGAACATGAGAGAACACATGGAGAACCACATGAGAGAACACATGGAGAACCACATGAGAGAACACCAGAGGAACACATGAGAGAACACCAGAGGAACACATGAGAGAACACCAGAGGAACACATGGAGAACCACATGAGAGAACATGTCAAGCGACTTTGTTAACTACTTTGAAAAAAAGGTTGATGATATTTGTTCTTCTTTTTCTGACTCACCTTTGCTCACCTCTGGGTCACCTGACCCACCTTTGCTCACCTCTGGGTCACCTGACCCACCTTTGCTCACCTCTGGGTCACCTGACCCACCTTTACTCACCGATGGGTCACCTGACCCACCTTTACTCACCGCTGGGTCACCTGACCCACCTTTACTCACCTCTGGGTCACCTGACCCACTTTTACTCACCTCTGGGTCACCGGACCCACCTTTACTCACCTCTGGGTCACCTGACCCACTTTTACTCACCTCTGGGTCACCGGACCCACCTTTACTCACCACTGGGTCACCGGACCCACCTTTACTCACCACTGGGTCACCTGACCCACCTTTCACCCACACACTGACCTCCTTCTCCCCTCTCTCTCCAAGTGAGGTTCTTACCCTCATTACCTCTGCCCGTCCTACCACCTGTCCTCTGGACCCTATCCCCTCAAACCTCCTTCAGACCATCGCTCCTGATATTCTACCGTTTCTCACCCATCTCATAAACACTTCTCTAACTTCTGGTGACTTTCCAAACAGTCTCAAGGAGGCAAGAGTAAACCCTCTCCTAAAGAAACCCACTCTCAACCCGTCTGATGTTATAAACTACAGGCCTGTCTCTCTCCTCCCGTTCCTGTCTAAAACACTTGAACGCGCTGTCTTTAAACAACTCTCCTGTTATCTCCATCAGAACAACCTTCTGGATCCGCACCAGTCTGGTTTCAAGGCAGGTCACTCCACAGAAACTGCTCTCCTTGCTGTCTCTGAGGAACTGCACACGGCTAAAGCAGCCTCCCTCTCCTCTGTCATCATCCTGTTGGACCTGTCTGCTGCATTCGACACGGTGATCAGATCCTCCTTCGCACTCTCCAAGAACTTGGAGTTTCAGGCTCTGCACTTTCCCTCCTCACCTCATACCTCAAAGACCGTACCTACAGGGTAACTTGGAGAGGGTCAGAGTCCGACCCTTGTCAATTAACTACAGGGGTCCCTCAGGGCTCTGTCCTTGGTCCCCTCCTCTTCTCCTTGTACACAAACTCGCTCGGATCGGTCATTAGCCCGCATGGTTTTTCATACCACTGCTACGCTGACGACACCCAATTCATTCTGTCCTTTCCCCGCTCAGAGACCCAGGTCGTCGCACGCATCTCTGCTTGTCTAGCAGACATCTCTCAGTGGATGTCTGCTCACCACCTCAAGCTCAACCTTGACAAGACTGAACTGCTTTTCCTTCCGGGAAAAGAGTGTCCCACTCTTGACCTAACAATCAACATCGGCCCCTCTGTTGTGTCCCCGACTCAGACTGCAAGGAATCTGGGTGTGACCCTAGATAACAACCTGTCCTTCACTGCAAACATCGCTGCTACAACCTGATTATTAATTCTGATTATTTAATATTTCTTTGTAATCTTTTTAGATTGTTAATTTTATTGATGTTAATTTTATTTTATGATTTATATTTTAGCAATTGTTTAAACATGAATAGTTAACATCACACACCAAAAGCCATTGCAAGTTAAATCTATAAATATGAACAAATCATAAGTTTAAAGACATGTACTAAGCTTATAGATAACTACTAACAAAGAACCACAAAAACGATAAAATCTATAAAATAAATTAATCATATTTATAAAAAAATTATTTAAATAAATGTTTGTATTAAATATTTTTATTTTGCAAAATGCTGCTCTTGTGTTGTCTGCTGCTCTGTGGAGATGTTTCAATAAAGTTGTTGAATTGAACAAGAGCACATTTAAAACAACCTCAGTGACCAAAGTGCTGAACAGGGAACAAATACAACATAGAATTACTCAATAGGAGTAAAATAATAAAGCAATAATAATTAAAAACAAGGTAAAAAGCACAAGAAACATATAAACACATATAGAAATGTCAACTAGTATTAATTATGAATGCATAAGATAAGATAAGACTTAATTTATCACGAAGGAAATTGTCGTGCCAGAGTTACAAAGACACAATAAACCCAGCAGCATGATAATAAAACTGTACACTTACTAACAGAGCAGTAAAAAGAGCAATTAAATAACTACAGGAAACAGACGGTCACATAATGAATGTAAATATTAACAGTAGTGCAAAAAAACGTAGTGGGAGATACGTTATTGCACGTTATTAATAATAATAATAATAATAATAATATTGCACATGTTATAGCAGCGAGTGTTAATACAGTATGTATTTAAACTTCTAGTATCCCACAGGGCTGTAACAGAGTCTCAGTAACACTTCAGTCATCTCAGGACGGGTTCCTCTGCAGGTTTCTTTTTCTTTTTTCTTCTGTTGATGCATTAGGAGGCGTGCCGTGCCGGGCCGGGCCAACAGTCTCAGAGGCTCCATGTGATCCTGCAGGGGGGGTGTCGCTCTAAAAAAACACTTTCCCTCCATCCAGGCTGCATTTGAGAGCTTCTCTTCCTCCGCTGCAGACACAGGATTTAGCTTTTTCCTCCGCTGCTACATTTTGGGATATTTCCATTACCGGACAGTGACGGGCTGCTGCGGCATGGGCGACGCTCAGTCTGCGCACCGCGACGCTGAAGCGGCAGAGGAGCGGAGCGGGGACGCGCGGGACGATGAGCAGGAAACTGGAGACAAGGTATCTGATCATCACTCACTCAAACACTGCTGCGATGCTGCAGAAAACCCTTCACTGCCTCAGTTATCTGTTCAGAAACCGGAGGCAAGGTATCTGTGATAACAGTCCTTTATGCTGTATAATGACCGCATGTCATGGAGTGTAATAAGGTATCTGCAGACTATGAGACAACTTTGTTTACCTAACAGGTCTTCAGCCATGGTACATACATGCAAACTTCAACACATACTCAGTATCACTCCGCGCCACAGCAGTAACATCCTGATAGATAGATACGGTGTCTGATCATCACTCACTCAAACACTGCTGCGATGCTGCAGAAAACCCTTGACTCTCTCATATCTGCAGTGGTGATGTTCAGCATGCAGCACTGCTGGTGTTAAAGCTCTTATTTAGCTAGAAGCAGTCAGTGTTGTGCAGAGTAGAAATGCTGAGGCTGGGTGTTGTTGCTGCCAGCAGGACAGAGCAGCTGCCAACACATGCACCGACCCTGAGATGTGTTTCAAAACTAAGTCCTTGCATGTTTGGGTGCATCGAGCACAAGAGGCTACTTTTATTCAGGTGTCTTTCTAAAAGTAGCTGACTCTTATTCTGTGGAATGGAAGGAGCTATAGATGCTTTCCTGACTTTCCTATGTTAGTTTGAACCTGCTTGAGCCCCTTGTCATGGTTTCATTGATGCAGAGCAATTTGTATTTACCGTAAAAAGGGTAAAGTGTGCAGAGTGATGACCTCTCTGAGGAACCTGTGAGGCCCTGGGGAGATCTGGGGTTCCTCTCGCATCGATGTGTTGTTCTGCAGATCACATGAGAGCAGGAAGTCAGAGAGACAGCACTGAGACGAGGGAAGCAGCCGTAATGTGTTGGGAGTGATCAACACGAGATTGTGATTTCGCAGCACTTGACCCTTTGAGACGGGCGATAACACGATTAGGAAGCAGGAGGCCGTCGTTTCACGCTCACATATCGCATGTTCCAGGGCTTTGTTTTCCAACATTAACTCCAGTGAGGGTGGAGAAAGTATTCCAGTATCATGTTTGTGATACTCTCAGAAACACTGCATTGATTTGAACTTAGTTTACATGCAAAGTATCAGACTGGGGATCAGGTGGCAGTGAGAGGATAAGATGGATTCTGCAGAGTCTGTTATGACAAAAAAATGCATACAAATAAAATGTGCAGAGTCAAATGTCTTTGCATGACGGTGTTTTGTTACAATAAGACAAAGAGATATTTTACAAAATTAGTTTGCTTACAGTATCACATTTTTTAAGGGTGTTTGCACCTTTTTTGTTACAAATTTAAAATACTTTAAGACATTCTTAATACCTGGGCTAACCCTAACCCGCCAAAAAATACCAATTCTGCAGACAGACAAATCAAAAAGACTAAAATGCAGTAAATATTGTTTTTAAAGAGGACCTATCATGCAAAATGCACTTTTGTACGTCTTGTATACATGAATATGTGTCCCCGGTGTTCCAGGGAACTCACCAAGTGTCAGAAAACACAACCCTCTCTATTTTCCTCCATACCCAAATCTCTAAAAAAAAGGGGCTGCAACGGATCTGATCAAAACTGATCCAGATTTGAACACTGTCCTGACGTCAGGACGGTGGCGCTACGGCTATTGGGCCAACTCCACCAATCAGGAGGAGACAGCCACGGCCATTGCCGTTCGAAAGCGCTGGAGACGCTGTAGTACATATGCCACATGTACATTTCTATGTCGTCACAGAAGTGGCGCTATGGCTATTGGGCCAACTCTCCACCTATCAGGGGAATGTGGCGTTGGGCCACGGCCGGCCATTGCCGCTCGAAAGCACTGGAGACGCTGTAGTACATATGCCAGGCCTGTAAGTGGCGCTGTAGTCTGCCACAAAAGCAGCGAAGAAGACTTCCCGCCCATAGTTGCCATGGTTACCCTTCTGTTTATTCTCCGCTGTGGCTTTTTTTCTCCCTCCCCGAGGCAAGCGTTTGCTCCCGCTGCTTTAATTCAATGCAATCCCTCCCCGTCGAGGCAAGCACTGTAATTCTCTCCGGTTAGTCCACCAGCAGATGACAAACACCCACCTCTCCGCCTCTTCCAAGGAACGAGGGGACCGTGCGGCAGAGTTTCAGTTAGGTTTTCTTTCGCCGGTCAAGATGTCCGTTAAAGTTTAAATCTTCCGGACAAAATTAGAAAAGTGCCGGTCAAAGGACAATATATCATTTAAATATAGCATGATAGGTCCCCTTTAAGTTAAATTACATTTGGGAAAACTGACATATAAAAATGCATTAAAATGTAATTGTTCTGGGTTAAAAGACGTACTACTAGCCAAGTATACACAACAATTTTAACATGCAAACAAATTGGTTTTGGGCGTAGCAGAAATGATCATTATTGTCGGGAAAATACATAACCGGTAATATAACCGGGAAACTGATTAATTTATTGTATCCGCTCCTAAAATTCCAGAAATGTTTGGAAACATTCAGGGTTTGAACATCAAAATCTGCGAGGCCATATGTACTCATGATGCATTTGTACTTTGTGTTTTCTAAATACATTTAAGAAGTACTTGATGAGTGATATTCCTCTCACACTGTACATTGTATATTTATATTTAATGTAATATTCCATTCCTTACACACTTAATGTAAATAATATTCTGCGTCTAAAGCCCTTCAATCGTGTTTTATCCGTCAGATAGTTTATTGATTTTTTATCTTCACGGTTAACTTGTATATTTTCAACTCTTTTAATGTAGTCTTTCATTACATTACATTACATGTTACTTGTTAGACGCTTTTATCCAAATTTGGGGTGAAGTGTCTCAGGGACACAGCGACATGCTGACTGCAGTGGGGTTTGAACCTGTAACCCCCTGATCCGAGCACCAACGTACTAGTCCACTGCGCCACAGCCTCCCCTTTCAATTTCTACTTATGTGAAATGCCTTGTTTTTTATGCTGCAACGCAAACATTTCCCAATTTCAGATCCATAAAGTACATCTTATCTTATCATCGTGCAACGTCTCTAAGTTTGGTCGTTTTCCCTAAAACTGAACAGCTTGAGACTGAAAACAAAGTGCAGCCTGTTCCCAGATCAGAGTTAGGCGAGGTGCGTGCATTATAAAATGGAAAGTGGAAAATTAGCTCACAGCCTCAAGAATCACATTATGCACTTTGATCTTCAGGCATGCAGTCGTTTAATCCGTTTATTTAGGGAAGAAGCCTTGATTTAATTCTACATTTAAGGCTGCAGTAACTCATGGTGATGCATCGCTTCTCACTGGTTATCATTCAAAATATGTACAAAACGTTGGCTAGGATTAATCTTCCGTATCAATGTCCAACACGGTCTTAGCAGGTATTAGCAGAACATGTTCTCTGTGTTCCCTGCTCAGACTAATCTGGATCAGAACTGGATATTTGGACTTTTAGGGTTATTTAACTGTGAGACTCCCATCAGACCCACACACTGCTGACTGGACTGTATTGTTGGGACTCAGAATAGGATTTTGCAGCCCCAACTAATCCATATTTGTTTCACGGAAATCCAAATTCTGATGGATTAGGCTCATTTTTCTCTGGGTTTGAGCCCATGAGCAAATACTAATACCACAAATTTAGATATTCACAATACCAGTTAAATAACACGATTACCCATACCCAATGTAAGGATTGAATTAAAGGATCATGAAAGAAAGGATTGGATATTCATCTTAATATTTGTTTTGATTGGCTTCAGTTGTTTTAATGATGAATTACAAGCTGCTTAGAGCTAGTTTAAGAAAGCAGTCATAATTCCCTAATATCGATTTATTATAACTGTGATACAATTCCCTTTTAAAAGGATTTAATCAAGTTCCTCCCCAGAAACTACATTTGTCACAGTTACATTTAAACACAATATGATAACGTTATAATCTACTCTCACCGAATACAAGTTTTTACTGAATAGAGCTTGAACGCTTCATTGTGAAAGTCAACTGAAAGCAGGTTAGCATTAGCAGCTAACATTGATTAGCTCTCCTGCAGATTACAAGACACATTTTCCATGTTACAATATTAGGGTGAAAAATAGGCTGCATTTTGAAGATCTCCCAGGGAACTGGTTTCTAAACACAGTTTCTATTGACCCCAGGAAAAAAGGATATTGTTAGTCTCGAGCAGTGTTGGGTAAGTTACTTCCAAAATGTAATACAGTACATATTACTTATTACTGTCTTTTTTAAGTGATAAGTTACATCACAATATTACTGTCTCTGAAATGTAATGAGTTACACTACTTTTATATTACTTTTTAGTTACTTTACCAAAATAACGCAAAAGAATGGCTAGGTATTTAAATGCTAAAATGTAGTTTAGTGCAGCTCATTATACATCCAGTGAAGGGCAATGTGGTATAGCATAACAACTGTGTAGGCCCTGAAGCAGGGGTGCCCAATACGTCGATCAAGGTAGTGTGGGTAGATCGCATGGCATTTAATTTTTTAATTTTTTTAAGTTAGCCTTTCATCCATCCTTACTATGGCATTTGCCACTTGATTGACGTACAGGTAAGCCAGTCTGAGTTGTATTGTGCCATACGGGTTCATGCAGTTATGAGGGGGCCTCACCTCCTCATCTGAAGCGCAAATGCGGCGCACTATTATGCCACAGTTTATCCGCCGTTTAGTCCACTAGCACCGCTCGCGACACAGATGGTGCTGGGGCGGCCCTGTAGGTAGATCATTTGGGCTTGGTCATTTTAAAAGTAGCTCCCAAGCTGAACAAGTGTGGGCACCCCAGCCCTAAAGGCTACTAACAACTTTTATTACACGGCTTAGTTGAATACTCGATTCTGATTGTAAATTCTTAACATGTGACACGTTGTTAATACAGTAGTACAGACCACTGTCAAGGACTATAATGAAGGTTGCTAAGGAGGATCAAGAAAGGGAAAGGGAAAGAGGTTAAAAGACGGAGCGCTGGACGTCAGATAAATCACCAGAAGAAGGCAGAGAGGAAGTAAACACTAACAGGAACACGGAATGGGCTCTGTAGTTTGTTTAGTATATGGCCGTGTAATAAACGGGATAATGTGCAGCGAAGCGGTCATTATGGGGAAAAGAGCACCCGACAGGCTGATCAGGGAACCAGATCAGAATCAGCCTGAAGGGTAAACACCAGGTTTACTAATCTACCCGCACAATGTTTCTCTGGTGTCGGAATGTCTCGTGATGTTTGTAAATTCTTAAAAAACAAAACACCATTTAATTTCGGGTTAAAATGTGTTGTAACTGCGTTACTGAGAGTTGTAACGGGTAGTATATTACCCAAATGTCATTAGTAATGCGTTACATTACTTCGTTACAGCAAAAAGTAATACATTACTGTAAATCCGTTACTTTTGTAATGCGTTACACCCAACACTGGTCTCGAGTCAAAACATGACCGCCTAAAGAGAGACTTTCTAGCTTCTTTACAATATTATCTTTTCCACAAGAGCAAAGTACGCTTTTCTTCTATTCTCGATACCTAAAAGAAACAAGTACCAGTTCTCAAGACACCACTACTTTTAGCTGAAACCAGAGCTTGTGAAACTACTTTTACAAACTAGGAAAGGCAAAACACAACTGCCTAAAAAGAGAAATGTTTGATATTCTAGCTTCCATACAATTGTATATCTTCCACAAGAGTACGCTATTCTTGTAGTCTCGATACCTAAAAGAAAAAATTACTAGTTCTCATGACATCTCTACTTTTAGCTGAAACCAGTGCTTCTGAAAATACTTACAAACAAGCAAATGTTTAAAAAAATGACTGCCTAAAGACAGACTTTTTACTATCATCTTTGCAATATTATATTTTCCAGAAGAGCAAATGTACATTTTACGCTTTTATTCTAGTCTCGATACCTAAAAGGAACCAGTACATGGGTCTGAAGTACCAGTTCTCAAGACATCATACTTTAAAGGGAAACCAGTGCTTGTGAAACTACTTTTACAAACAAGGATATGTTAAACCTTTACTGCCTAAAGAGAGACTTTCTCGCTGCTTTACAATATTATCTTTCCCAGAAAAGCAAATATCCATTGTATGTTTTCTTTGTGCTTTGTTTCAGCCTCTCATAAACAACGGACAGGTCTCTGAGATCAGTGGGAAAGCAGAAAGCTCGATAGCCGAAGTGAATGGTCTCTGTGAGGAGCAGATTCCTGCAGAGGGTAGGTTCTCTTTTACTATTACTTCACATTACGATGCACAGTGTCAGCAGCATTTTAACAGATGCATTAGTATTTGTTTACAGCTGATAGAGTTTCATCTCAGTCATCAGTCTCGTACAGCTCTTTGCATCCAAGTATTTTAATATTTAATCTCTTTCCTGGTTTAGATTTCCTTTCACCAGAGAAGGATGATTCAGAAACAGAAAAGCCACTCGAAGAAGAAACACCTTTAGAAAATGTTGAAATAAGTGAAAAGGAATCGCCTAATGAAGCTGATGCTGATGAAGACGTACCTATGGAAATAATTGAAATGGATGCAAAGCAGAATGACATAAATGAAAGTTTCAGGAGATTTTTCAGCAACATTGGTTTGAAGTTGACGGTAAAGAGTGGCTCAGGTGACGTAGCATCAGATGACACCGACAAGGAAGACCCACACAGACCAGAAGACATTGAAGATACAACAAAGGAAACCACAAGTGAGAATCCTGAAGAAAATACTGATCTGAACATGGCTCAGGAGACGTATGACAATGACTCAACAACATGTCCTACCCTGACTGACGTTACACCGGAGGACGCTCCACAAAATGCGGAGGAGAAAACAACAGAAACCAAAGAGGAAGTTGAGTCTGATTATGTAGATGCAGAAATGCCAGTAGAAGAAGATACACAGCAGGATGCCACACCTGAAGAAGAACCAGAATCTCCTTCTGGTCCCGAAGAGGCGGAGGTCGTGTCTCCAATTAAAAGATTTTTCACTACTGGAATCTTTTCTGGACTACGAAAGAAAAAGAAGCTTCCAGAAGAGGAGACAGCTGACAAAGAACTGGAGGACCTGGGGAAAAAGGAGGTTGTAGAGACGGCAGAACAAACTGAACAAGACCAAAAACAGGATAAAGAGGACATCCGTGATGATGTTGAAGCAGCTGCAGTTGAGACAGAACATAAAGAACTGAAAGGGGATAAGATGCCTGCAGCTCAGATCCCGGATCCTCTGACCATCATCGTCACTGAGCCTGAAATCCTGAGTTCTCAAGAGAAGGAAAAAGTTCAAGCAAGTCCTCTGAAAAGGCTGTTTTCAGGTTCTAGTTTAAATAAACTACCCAGAAAGCAAAGGAGCAGGAGATCAAGTGATGCAAGGATGTCTGACTCTGGAGAACATGTTTCTGATAAAGTCATATTATCGACTGAGTCAGTTGAGAATCAGAAAGGAGAAGTTCGTGCACAGTCCTCTGCAGAAGAGGAGGAAGGTGCATGGGCTTCCTTCAAAAAACTGATGACTCCCAAAAAGCTCAGGAAGAGACCGTCAATTAGTAATGAAGAGACTAAAATCAAATGTTTAGTCGAAGAATCAAAGCCAGTTGAAGGAGGGCAAATATCAGATCACAGCACAGAAGAAGGCAACAAACGAAAAGACTCTTCTGTTTCATGGGAATCTGTTTTGTGTGGATCTGGAAGGAGAAGAAGCCGTAAAACATCCGACTCTGAGGAGGAGACACCTCAAAATAATAACGATAAAAACAAGCAAGACACTGGATCTAAAGGTGGTGCAGAGTCAGGGCTCGAAAGCTCTCATGAGGTTGATGAAAGTGTAAGTCCTTCAGAGGGGGATGCAGGGTCCACATGGAAATCGTTGAAAAGACTTGTCACCCCGAAAAGGAAAGCAAAGGATGAAGATGAGAGCAAAGACGGAGTACAATCTGATAGTGAATCTACTCAAGATGAGTCCTCCTTCTCAATAAAGAAACTTCTACCTGGCAGAAAGAAGAGAAAATCTACCGAAAAGCATGACCAAGTATCTTCAGACGAGGCGGATAAGGACGTTGCTTCAGAAGATGAAGACTCGGAAACACCAGCTATTGTTCCTTTGTCTGAGTTTGATATAGTTGAGACAGCGGTTCAAATACAAACACAGGTAGACATAGAGAGGCGTATTCCCAAGGAAGCAGACCATGAAGTCCAGCGAGACCTCCTTGATCAGAAGGCCGAGCCAGTCCTACAGGGGGTCTGTCTGCAAGCTGAAGCAAACAAAGTCCAAGACAAGGAAGATGCTTTAGAGAGCAAGGCGCTTACAAATCCTGCTACAAATGAAGAATCTGATGATACAGAATCACTCAGTAAACCACAGCTCAGTGACATCCCAGAGGAGGCCACCCCAGCTTCTGTCACCGAGGACGCAGCTAGAGATGACACTATCGCAGAGGACCTGATAGAGATCACATCCGAGGCCATTACTGCGCCAGAGCCTTTGGACATCACCCAGGAGGATGAAACTGAAATGATCTCTGCAGTTTCCCAGTTATCTTCAGAGTCTTCGAAAACATCTGGCAACACGACACCAGTTCCAGCCGAATATGTCGTGAAGGAAACAGATGCACTTCTGTATCAGGTTGTTGAAACCATTTCGATTAGCCCAAAGCAAGTTCCAGTTTGTTCAGATGATGTGAGATCTAATAGAGTGGTTGTTTCCGTCTCGCATCAAATAATGGACACAATTGTAAAGAAAGGGCAGACAGTTCTTGAAACACACAAAGGATTAGATGCAACTGACAGTAACCCAGATCTAGATGTTGAAGAACTGGAAGCAGTTGACAGACTTACAGCTAGCGCCCAAACAGAGAGCATCTCTGAAGTCAATGACTCTGTTTCCACAGAGATCGTATCTGAAGTTCATACAGAGGAGTTTGACACTGCTGATATTGCTTTGGATGATGTACATGAGGTTGATGTTACACATCCGGAACACAGCCTTAAAGAACTAGAAAGTATTGATGAGATCTCTCAGCTGGGGGAATGCCTATCAGCTGCTTCTACAGATATACTCCCTCCAGGTGAAGAAAGGGTCCTGGAGGAAGGATCTCTAGTTGAGGCACATCTAACTGGAACAGAAGCTGAGGAAACCAGGGATGAGGCTATGGAGCAGGAAGTCCAATCTCTGACAGAAAAGGAAGATCTTATTCACAATGTCACAGATCAAATTCAGGTTGAGGATAAAGATGAACCACCAGCTGAGGCCAAGGAGAAGCAGGAGTTGGATCCAGAGGAGGGTAGTGTTCAATCCCCTCAAAAGGATATTATATCAGAAGACATACCAGCAGCGGAAACACATGAACACAAAGAGGAAACATTGCCCCTTACTGAGGTCAACGTTGAGCCAGAGAAGGAAGATGAACGAGAAACAGATGTTGAAGAACAGGAAGCATCAGAAGCTCTGCAAACCTCCACATTGGTTTCAGAGGAGGGCAGTGATCAATCACCAACAGAGGAAGTAAGATCAGAGGACTTTCCTGAAGCGGAACCTGTTACAGATCAACTCAAACAGACAGAAGAGTGCCTCGCTGAAGTCAGTGTTGAGCCAGAAGAACCAAAAGAGGATTTATTACCTCTAACTGAAGGCAATCTTGAGCAAGTTGAGGCTTCCAGAACAGTTGAAGAAGTATTAGAAGCTGAAAAAGCATCTGCATCAGCTTCAGAGGTAGGTAGTCTTCTTTCACTTGAAAAGGAAGACATACCAGGGGATATTTCAGCAGTGGAAGCAGTTACAGATGAACCCAAAGCGGAAACAATACCTTGCATTGGAGACAATCTTGAGCCAGTGGATGCTCCCAAAACCAATGATGAAACACCAGAAGTATTAGAGGTTGCTCAAGCACCTACATTCAAACCGCCAGAGGTCAGTGTTCAATTGCTTGAGAACGACATCATATCAGAGGATGTTCCCGAACCACAGAAAGTTATAGATGAAGCCAAAGAGAAGACACTACCTTGCACTGAAGCCAATCTTGAGCCTGCAGTTCCTTCCACAACTCAACATTTTCAAGAACCAGTAGCATTGGAAGCTGTTGAAGCATCTACATCAGATTCAGCAGAGGTCAGTGTTCAATTGCTTGAAAAAGAGGTAATATCAGAGGACGTCTCCGTAGCAGAAACTGAAGTAGAAGATACCAAAACTGAACATGTTTTAGCACCAGAAAAACTGGAAACAGATCCAGTAGAAGCTGTTCAAGTACCCACATTAGATTCAGAGGCAGGCAGTCTTCAATCACTTGAAAAAGAGGTCATATCCGAGGATTTTTCAGGTGAAACTAAACAGGAAACAATACCTTGCTCTGAAGCCAATGTTGAGCAAGTTGATGCTCCCAAAACAAGTGAAGAACCAGAAGTATTACCAGCCATATTAGGTTCGGAAGACGTAATAGAAACAATTCCTCTAAATAAAGACAATACTGAGTCAATGGAAACACCAGAAACTGAACATGATAAAGAAGAAGAAATAATACAAGCTGTTCAAGCATCTAGATCAGATTCAGAGGTTGGTAGCCCAATATCACTTGAAAAGGAAGTAGTATCAGAGGATATTCAGGAAGCAGAAACCGTTACAGAGGAACCTAGAGGTGAGACAATAACTCCCCTTACTGTCACTTCTGAGCCAGTGGAGGCTTCCAAAACTGGAGATATTCAAGAACCAGAAGAAGTGCAAGCTGTAAAAGAAGCAACATCTGATTCAGATATGGGTAGCATTCCATCAATTGAAAAAGAGGTAGTATCTGAGGATGTTCGTGAACAAAAAACAATATCAGATGAACCCAAAGAGGAAACAAAACCTTGCACTGAAGCCGATAGTGAGGATACTTCCAAAACAGTTGGACAACAAGAAATATTAGAAGCTGTCGAAACACCTGCATCAGATTCAGAGGTGGGTAGTCCTCAATCGTTTGTAAAGGAGGTTATCTCAGAAGATATTCCAGTAGTGGAAACAGATAAAGATGAACCCAAACAGGACGATGAAGTTGAGCCGGAAGAAAGACTACCAGAGGAAGCTGCCAAAACTGAACATGTCCAAGAACCAGAAGATATAGTGACTGAAACAAAAGCTGATGAAGGAACATCAATGGATGTTCAGGAGGTCCTGGAAGATATTGAGGGAGGTAATGCTAAGGAGGAGATATTAATAGCAGATGTTCCCAAACCAGACGTTGACCATGTCATTGCTTCAGTTACAAATGGGATTGAAAATGAAGTTGTGGCCCAACTGGATACTTCTTTAGAGACGGCAGAGGATCAGAGATCAGAAAGTATCCCACAGGATGTCGTGGTTGAGCCGGAAAACTGTGTACTTGAAGTTGTAGACGAGTTACAAACATTGACAGCAGTTTCTGTATCCCTTGTTATTGAGGAAACAAGTGTTCAGGTCCTGGAAAAGACCGTATTTACCGAACAACCCCCAGCGCTGTGTGAAGACACCGCTAAAGTTACCAATGAGCCAAACCATGAAGTGCAGCTCGGTGCAGTGCAAGCCACTGTTGAGACAGAAAAAGAAAGTGAACTTCCAGGCACTGAGACAACAAATGCATTTGAGCATGCAGTCGTGGCACAAGTAGTCGTATGCAAAGATGCCTCAGTTGCAATACCTGATGTGTTGGTACAGGAAACCTCAGCTATCCCTGAACCCTCGATCAGTAAGGTGGCAAGTGAGCAAGAGTTCAAGGATGAGATAGAGACTTCCACACCGTTACTGAAAGATGAAGCAGATGAGAAAGTAGAGGGAGGCAGCGTGGTGGTAATGATGCATGTGCCATCTGTCGAGTCTGAGGACAATCACAGAATTCAAGTACAGGTGGTGGACGTTGATGTAAAATCAGCCGAGACAATTCGGGACTCAGTGCTAGAGGTAGGGGTCACAGAAGACGAGGAAGTCATCGATGTTTGTCATGAAACAGTCACAAAGGTAGAGGACCTCTCAGCAACTCCAGAGATTGAAGAGGAACTAACTAACGAGGAACTCAAGGTGACCATTGAAGAAGTTGTTCCACACGTAAAGGAAAACTTACCAGAACCTGAATCAGTGGTGGAACAAGAAGGCGTGAATCAGCCAGAAGCTGTCAAAGAAGTGGTTCAAGGTGAAGTTGAGGCCCCAAAAGCAATGGAGGATAATAGTGAAACATTTAGAGAAAGACAAGAAGAAGCACCTACTGTTGTCAGTGATGTCTCTGCACCTGAACAAGTATCCAAGGATCTTGTTCCAAATCAACCAGAGAGTTCAGATACCGCCATCATCGAAGAGAAACAGGATTTGGAGGAAACTAAAGTTGAACAGGAAAGATGCAAAGCAGGGGTTGTAGTAGAAGAGGTCAAATTGGATCAAATAATTCATGAGGAAGCTCAAATGATCCAGAGTCCGTTTGTAACACATGGTAACGCTGGAATAGCTACCCCACAAAACACTGGGATCATCTCGTCAACAAGTAACGTCATCGAATCCCCTTCAAGTGTTTCCATTGAATTCAAACTCAACATACAGTACAGACGAGCGAGTTCACAAACTCCAGACGTGTCGGAGGTCAGAGTTCAGGCAGTGGAGGAACCTGTGAATCAAATACAAAGAGATGAGAGCGAGATACAGATAAAAGAGAGTGCTGTTCAGGCAACAGAAATCACAGAACCAGCGGGAGCCTCAGATCCAACAGAAAGAGCCGTCATCACGACTCCTCCTGTCCTCCTGGATATCCACATCCAAGCAATGGAAACTGTAGAAGCGCTGGAAGAAATCAAACCAACGGAGAGAGGGAGCTCTAGTGTCCGGGTGGCAGAAACCATGCAACCTGTGAAGCAAACCGAGCAAAGAGGAGTGTCTCAAAGTCAGCCGGTTATCTCTGTAGCTGGTGCCCAACAAGTGGAGGAGCCAGTCAAAGCACAGGAGGAGGAACATGAGCAGGATGTGTGGATGGATGCGGAGGAAGACATTCAGGAGGAAACAGAGGTGCTCCGTAAAGAGGAAAAGGAATTTCTGGAGCCTTGCAAAGGAGACGAGGAAGAGGAGAAGGCAGGACTTGAGTTAGAAATGGCTCCTAATGGCAAGACGGAGGAGGAGGGACGTCATCTGGAAACGCACAAAACAGTTGAGGTGGAGAGTGATGAAGATTTCGCTGTGGCTCTGGAGAGTCCTGACGCCGAAACTGTGAGTGTCACCACGATGTAGTGGGACTGGTTTCCCCCAACGTCAGCGTAATTCTCCAGGTGAGCCTCTCCAGTTACTTGTGATTTTTTAAACATTTACACCATTGCAGTTTGTTTACACTCTTGAAACTGCTAAATCGCACAATTAGCAAAATCAGTAATTCTTCATTTTCATGCACTACAATTAAAAACCTTTATCTACAAACACAGCAAATCAGACTCAATATCAGATAAATCAATATATCTTTTCTATATAAAAAGGAATAGTATTTTCCATTATCGTAGCACAACAGTGGATGGCATTACTGCATCACTTTTGCATATTTCATTTAACTTGAATAAAGTACACAATATGAAATACTTTATAGTTTTAAGGAGGCTCTATTCTGCTTTTTGTGGTGTTCCCTTCCCTGTTGTATAGGTTTTCTGTGCATGTAAATGGTCTGCAAAGGTCAAAATCCCAAAGTCATAGTGTCCTTTTATGGTTATTATGTATAACGTGTTAACCATTGGGTGTTTATATCTGGCATTTTGCCGTGTGCAAGCATTGGAACATACGAAAGACAGGAAACACCTAATTTTGTTCACTTTTACTGCAAAAAGATGAATAACAGACTCATTTTGAAAGACAAAAGTATAAAAGCAATTGTAAAATAATACTGTGAAAGCATGCATTACATTTAATGCAATGTCAAACTTAATTGAAATACCATGCTCCTCTTACCTCTCTCTGCAGGTTGGACGATCAAAGAGGACGACGTTTTCAAAAAGCCTTTGAAGAGTTTCACCGACAGCGGCAGAAGAACAGGAAACTGTATTTTGATGCTTTTTATTGACATCCAAAAATCTAAGTTTGTATGTAAGAGTATTTTATCAATATGAATATCATATATAAGCGTGTGATTAAACAGAGGAGAGTGCTCGGCTCAGGGTGCTCGCCTCAGGGTGCTCGGCTCAGGGTGCTCGCCTCAGGGTGCTCGCCTCAGGGTGCATGCAGAGTGAGTTTTATTACTAATCCTGTCTTTCTAATTATATAAATCATGTTTCTGCAGATTTATCAGATGAATGTATGTCTCACTTTAGCGCTTTAAATACATTTAAAGGGGACCTATCATGCAAAATGCACTTTTGTACGTCTTTTCTACATGAATATGTGTCCCCGGTGTTCCAGGGAACTCACCAAGTGTCAGAAAACACAACCCTCTCTATTTTCCTCCATACCCAAATCTCTAAAAAAGGGGCTGCAACGGATCTGATAAAAACTGATCCAGATTTGAACACTGTCCTGACGTCAGGACGGTGGCGCTACGGCTATTGGGCCAACTCCACCAATCAGGGGAATGTGGGGTTGGGCCACGGCCGGCCATTGCCGCTCGAAAGCGCTGGAGACACTGTAGTACATATGCCAGGCCTGTAAGTGGCGCCACAAAAGCCACAAAAGCAGCGAAGAAGACTTCCCGCCCATAGTTACCATGGTTACCCTTCTGTTTATTCTCCGCTGTGGCTTTCTTTCTCCCTCCCCGAGGCAAGCGTTTGCTCCTGCTGCTTTAATTCAATGCAATCCCTCCCCGTCGAGCCAAGCACTGTAATTCTCTCCGGTTAGTCCACCAGCAGATGACAAACACCCACCTCTCCGCCTCTTCCAAGGAACGAGGGGACCGTGCGGCAGAGTTTCAGTTTCAGTTTCTTTCGCCGGTCAAGATGTCCGTTAAAGTTTAAATCTTCCGGACAAAATTAGAAAAGTGCCGGTCAAAGGTCTTCTTTGTTATTTATTGAGCTTTAAAACCAATGAATAACGACTCTATATAATAAAACACGGAGGACGGAGATCTCTTTTTCTCCCCCTCTTCTGACAGCCCAGCAGCTGATCAGAGCACGTCTCCCCTCTCCTGCAGGGGGGCGTGGTCAGCAGAATCAGACCCGTAGACAGCAAACAGCACATAGAGCGAAATGAGGCATGGCTAAAATGCATGATCTGTTTGGTATTTTGAAAACAGAAACGTATAAATATACCTTATATAGGTATGGCCCTACAATATATCATTTAAATATAGCATGATAGGTCCACTTTAAGTATTAATAAAAACATTAATAAATGTACCAGGACAAATCAGAGCATAGCTGTGTGTCAGTATATGTAGATATAAACCTTACATATTTATCATTTGTGTTCATAAAGTTTAAAAATCTATTAAAAACATGAATGTGATTTCTGCAGCATACTGTATATTATCTTGTACATAATGACTGTTTTAATGCTTTCAAATCCTTTTTAATCTACGACTATTTCTACTGTGAGCATGACGAGAGCATGGCACAGCTTTGTTATTGAATATCTAATTAATTACACAACTGAATGAATGAATGACATTTTAATCAGCCAAGACGGCAGCTTGAGCTCCCGGCTGCGTGTAAACCTGAACACTTCTTATGAAATGCTGCTGCTGTTTGTCTCTGCTGATCTGTGACTAATCATAAACCTCATTATAAAGGTTTTATATTTACATATATATAAGTGTTTTATGAATAAAATATTATTATATTTGAATAAATCCATTCCTGTATATTTCGACTTCCTCTTGTTTTGCTTATTTTTCTTGGACATGGAAACTTTTGGTGATCATAAGTTAGCTTTAGATATTCTATTTAAGTCAAAGTGAGATCATGGCCAGATATTTTTGAGTATTATTTCATGCAAAAATGTAAGAAAATGCAGGTTTTACCCTTTAAATATTGAGATGTAATGCTTTGAATCAGTTTGATATCACATATCAGTAGATATATTCAACAAAACAAGTCATTACAAAACGTATTTTACATACACTGGAGAATAAGTGGGACACATTTAAAACACTTTATTGCATCCTTTACAACACACAGCACTTGAGCAAAAATAAATTAAAATATAAATCATTGCATATTTGATCTACTTTTTTTATACTAATCACAGGAATAATTGTACACGTCGACAGAGACTCTTCAAAGCGCCAGAAGAGAGTCGTAGGCTTTCGGACATTTTGTAAAACTGTTCCATGAGGCACCTTGTCTTCAGCAATGATCTTCAAGAGGGAAAATAGGAGTGTGTGTGTGTGTGTGTGTGTGTGTGTGTGTGTGTGTGTGTGTGTGTGTGTGTGTGTGTGTGTGTGTGTGTGTGTGTGTGTGTGTGTGTGTGTGTGTGTGTGTGTTGAAGTGTTTATACTGAGCAGCAGGAAAAGTAAGACATTCAAAATGTTCACGTCCACTTCGATTTCAAATCCAAAAATTAATCCAGAACTCATCTTTAGTGTCACTGAGAAGAAATACCTCTGTGTCCTGCAGAGATGATTCTCCTCAGATGGTTCTCCTTAGATGGTTCTCCTCAGATGATTCTCCTCAGATGGTTCTCCTCAGATGGTTCTCCTCAGATGATTCTCCTCAGATGGTCCTCCTCAGATGGTTCTCCTCAGATGGTTCTCCTCAGATGGTCCTCCTCAGATGGTTCTCCTCAGATGGTCCTCCTCAGATGATTCTCCTCAGATGGTTCTCCTCAGATGATTCTCCTCAGATGGTTCTCCTCAGATGGTTCTCCTCAGATGGTTCTCCTCAGATGGTTCTCCTCAGATGATTCTCCTCAGATGATTCTCCTCAGATGATTCTCCTCAGATGATCCTCCTCAGATGATCCTCCTCAGATGGTTCTCCTCAGATGGTTCTCCTCAGATGATCCTCCTCAGATGATTCTCCTCAGATGGTTCTCCTCAGATGATTCTCCTCAGATGATTCTCCTCAGATGATTCTCCTCAGATGATCCTCCTCAGATCCGGAGCAGCTCAGAAGATCATTTTTGAAACTTCGAACAATACCTACAAGAAAACCAGAAACACATATTTTATGATCTAACTTTAAGGAGGTCCTATTCTGCTTTTTGTGGTGTTATTATAACAATAAATTATATTTGTATAGCGCTTTTCAAAGTACTCGAAGTTGCATAGCGTGTTCTATAGGTGTTAGTGCATGTGAATGGTCTGCAGAGGCTGAAATCCCCGTGTTCCTGCAGAGGGAGTTTCTCTCACTCTCGTTTATTTACAGGATGTCAGAGGGGATTAAAGGCAGTTGATAAGATGGTCCTTAAAAAATGATATATATATATATATATATTCATGAACAACCTGCATAAATTCATTATCCTTAACCAAAAAACGTTTCTTCTCAATTCTTCATGGATAAAACATTCTATTAAAAAACGAAATGCTCCCAATGAAATAAAGATAATGCGTCGGGTTAGGCTTGCTGTCTTTTTATTTCTCACAATTACCAAATCAATTATCATTAACTGTAATGTCGGGGGAAATAAATGAAGCTCTTTATGGAGATGATCTGTGGGCAGCTCATTCTGGACACGGATTTATTTTTAGTTTGCATGAGCTAAATGTCACGAAACAGACAAATTCAATAATTAATGAATGCTTGTACACAAACTAAAGTAATTTAAAATTGTTATACATTTACAAGTCATCAATCCTCCATTCACACCTCATCCATGCAGAGCAAGGTGCCCCCTGCTGGAGGACCAATGGCCTTAGTGAGTGAGACGTGTTGCCGAAGGACACACCGACATGTTGATCAAACACACAACCTTCATATTGAGAGACGAGCGGATGAAGATCAGATATACTTTCTCTCTTTCTTCCCTTTCCCTCTGAATATAGGTATTATTAATAATTGGGGGTTTGTTTGTTTCGCTCACCTCGATGGTGATGAGGATGATGATCATCCACTCCAGCCTCAGACTGTGTTTCTCACTCAGGTGACTCCTCATCAGGTCGGTCAGCTGAGAGCAGTGCTCCAGCTTCTGGTTCACCACCTGCATACACAGCATATTATACATATACACTATATTATACAGTATATATGGAGGCGTGTGGTGCAGTGCGTTGTGTGTTAGTTTTCGGATCAGGTGGTCACAGGTTCAAACCCCATTGCAGTCAGCATGTCGTTGTGTCCCTGAGACACTTCACCCCAAATTGCTCCTGTGGGGATTGTCCACAGTATTGAGTATGTAAGTCGCTTTGGATAAAAGCGTCTAACAAGTGACATGTGATGTAATGTAATATATACAGTATAATATACAGTATATTATACAGTATAATATACTGTATAATATACTGTATATTATACAGCAGGGGTGTCCAAACTGTTTTCACCGAGGGCCACATACAGAAAATGATACGAAGGGCTGGGCCACTCCCTAAAAGTGAGGTTTATTGCCTCATAAGGGAAGTTATAAGTTAGCAAAATCAACCAACTGTAAGTAAATGATGCTTGATACAACAGCCTGCATCACAGCTCTCCTGAGGGTTTACTTTGTTTTGTTAGCAGCTCATTCCTTAAAACACGAGCTTCAGATTGATTATAATAAGAGGAAATATGAAGGGTTGATTTCAAGCTTGTTATGTAAATATTATTATTATTATATTGTTATTGGGCTTTTCTTATTTGTTAGAAAATGTTTTCAACTTGAATTGACTGAAAGTGGTCTTATTAACACATGAACACTACTGTGTAACATATGTTTACAGATATATTTAAGAAGTACAATACATATATATATTTACTATAGAGAGACTCACGTTGACCCTGCGGTTGATGTTAAGGAACTGGCAGGTTTTGTCGTAGAGCTTCTCCAGGTTCTCTCGGTCCCAGTAGAAATCTGGAGTGAGCAGCAGGTCTGACCTCAGGTTGATACAGTGTCTACACACACACACACACACACACACACACACACACACACACACACACACACACCACACACACACACACACACACACACACACACACACACACACACACACACACACACACACACACACACACACACACACACACACACACACACACACCACACACACACACACACACACACACACACACACCACACACACACACACAACACACACACACACACACACACACACACACACACACACACAACACACACACACACACACACACACACACACACACACACACACACACACACACACACACACACAGTTTTACAAAGATATTCGGTAAAAAAATATCTAAACATTTTTTTCTCTGAGAATGTTTTTTTCCCAAATAAAAAAAAACAATTGTCAGAAAATGTCATGTCGTCTGAATTATTGATTCAATATCTATATAATTATATTTCTAAAAAAAAGAATACATTTTTCAGTGAGCATTTATTTTTCCTGAAGACTCAAAATTCTTAGAATTGTTTCAGATTTTCATTTTTTTTTTTAATCTGAGAAAGAATTGAGAATTCTGACTTTAAAGGAGAGGTGTCATGCTTTTCCGGTTATTACCCGTCCCCTTGTATTATGAAGCTTTTTCTGCATGTAAACGGTGTGCAGAGTCAAAACCCTCAAAGTACACCCTGTAGTGAGTAAAACTCTAACACAGAAAATACCTCCCCAAAACGCCTCGTTGGAGATACGTCACTGTCCATTGTTTACTTCCTGTGTACTGTGATGTGTGAATGGCCAGGAACGAAATTGACCAATCCACGGACTTCCTCACACACACACACAGTGCAGGCAGCTCTGCTGATTTCTCCTCCCTGGCTGCAGGCTGATAACAGACAGTTGGGATCTCGGCTAAATTCTCTCTGCAGACCCATTCTCTCTGCAGACCCATTCTCTCTGCAGACCCATTCTCTCTGCAGACCCATTCTCACTGCAGACCCATTCTCTCTGCAGACCCATTCTCTCTGCAGACCCATTCTCTCTGCAGACCCATTCTCTCTGCAGACCCATTCTCTCTGCAGACCCATTCTCTCTGCAGACCCATTCTCACAGCGTTTATCAACCTTTTTCTTACTCAATATCAAGCCACACTTATTGTTTTTACTTCGGCTGTGACTTTGTGTGTGCTCAGGATGAGTTTGGTTGTGTTTCGCTATGTATGCTAAACAAGGAAACAACACCTCCACGGAGCTCAGCGTGATTCACAACGTCCCGACCAATCAGAGCACACTGTGCTCCCAGGGAGGGTGGGGGCTGGAGCTTTTGGAGCTACAACGAGCCGTTAAAGGCAGAGAGTGAAATTCAGTGAATACACGTAGTTTACAGAGATGCTGTTTGAGAAACCAATGTGAGTTTGGAGAGATGCTGTTTGAGAAACCAATGTGAGTTTGGAAAAATGCACAATATAAATCTATTCTAGTAGACCTCAACAATGGAATTATGATCAGTGGAAATGGCCATGATACCTCTCCTTTAAGATCAGATATCCCCAAAAAAAAAATATTTTCTTTCTCTGAGAATTATTTTCTTCCTAATATTAATTTCTGAAAATCTTAGAATTCTGAAAAGAAAAACATTTTCTTTCAATTATCAGTTTCTGATTTTTTTTTAAAATATATATATATTTTATACTGGCAACATTTTTGGGGGGAAATCAATAAAAGATGAAAATATCAAGAGTTCTGAAAAAGTTTTTCTTTTAAATATATTTTTTTCCAGAATTTCAAAAATCCGAAAAAAAAGTTTCTCTGCGATCAATTTTTTATGAAAATCTCAGAATTCAGATTTTTTTTTATTTTTTAAATAGATTAATATCTTTTCTCAGAGAAATTCTTTTTTAGATTTCTCAAATTTCAGAATTCTGAAAAAAGTATAATTTTAACACTAACTGAAATTTAAATCCATATACGAGTCTAAATGGACTAATTGGTTGTTTTCCAAACCTCCTGAGCACATCGGTGGTGAACATTAGAATGAACTCAGTCTGGAGGTCAGAGGTCAGAGGTCAGATGGCTGCTCTCTCTCTTAACGAGGGGATATTTGAGGAAGATTGAATTTACCTCAGAGTGAAAAGCTCTCCTATCTTCTTCATGACCTCGGCGGAGGAGAGCTTCACCCTCCGGCCGGACTTCAGCGTCTGAGGGGGGGGACACGTGATCACATTTACATTAATGAGAGGAATGGAGGAGTTTAAACACTAACACAGATCAGCTGTTCCTCTCTTTACCTCCGGGATGGACTGGATCGACTCCACAAAGTTATCCAGAGAATCCTCCCAGATGGCCAGCTTCACTACGAGCAGAGCAGCAGACATTAGAAATATACACAGGTATAGAGTAACTAAGTACATTTACTTGAGTACAATTTAGAGGTACTTGTACTTAACTTGAGTATTTCCATGTTATGCTACATTACATTGCATTTAGCTGACGCTTTTATCCAAAGCTTTTGCTCCACTACATGTATGAGGTACAAGATCTGAGTACTTCTACTTTTACTCAAGTACAAGATCTGAGTACTTCTACTTTTACTCAAGTACAAGATCTGAGTACTTCTACTTTTACTCAAGTACAACATCTGAGTACTTCTACTTTTACTCAAGTACAAGATTTGAGTACTTCTACTTTTACTCAAGTACAAGATCTGAGTACTTCTACTTTTACTCAAGTACAACATCTGAGTACTTCTACTTTTACTCAAGTACAAGATCTGAGTACTTCTACTTTTACTCAAGTACAACATCTGAGTACTTCTACTTTTACTCAAGTACAAGATCTGAGTACTTCTACTTTTACTCAAGTACAAGATCTGAGTACTTCTACTTTTACTCAAGTACAAGATCTGAGTACTTCTACTTTTACTCAAGTACAAGATCTGAGTACTTCTACTTTTACTCAAGTACAACATCTGAGTACTTCTACTTTTACTCAAGTACAAGATCTGAGTACTTCTACTTTTACTCAAGTACAACATCTGAGTACTTCTACTTTTACTCAAGTACAAGATCTGAGTACTTCTACTTTTACTCAAGTACATGATCTGAGTACTTCTACTTTTAATCAAGTACAAGATCTGAGTACTTCTACTTTTACTCTAGTACATGATCTGAGTACTTCTACTTTTACTCAAGTACATGATCTGAGTACTTCTACTTTTACTCAAGTACAAGATCTGAGTACTTCTACTTTTACTCAAGTACTCAATGATTGAGTACTTCTACTTTTAATCAAGTACAAGATCTGAGTACTTCTACTTTTACTCTAGTACATGATCTGAGTACTTCTACTTTTACTCAAGTACATGATCTGAGTACTTCTACTTTTACTCAAGTACAAGATCTGAGTACTTCTACTTTTACTCAAGTACAAGATCTGAGTACTTCTACTTTTACTCAAGTACATGATCTGAGTACTTCTACTTTTAATCAAGTACAAGATCTGAGTACTTCTACTTGTACTCAAGTACATGATCTGAGTACTTCTACTTTTACTCAAGTACCAGACCTGAGTACGTCTACTTTTACTCAAGTACCAGACCTGAGTACTTCTACTTTTTACTCAAGTACCAGATCTGAGTACTTCTACTTTTACTCAAGTACCAGATCTGAGTACTTCTCCCTCCTCTGTAAATATATAATAAATGATGATGATGATGATGACGATGATGATACAGCAGCAGTTTCTCACCTGACAAACACAGAGCGTTAGAGAAGGCAAACTTCTCCAGCACGGCTTCTGATTGGTCGATCATGTCGCTCAGCATGAAGTCACCTCGCTCCAGCTTCGTGTTCCCACTGCTCGTAAACAATTAAATATGACAAATAAACAACAACAACAGGTATGTGCACTTTTTCTAAGTACAATTTATTCACTTTAAAATACCTTTTTAATAACTCTAAAGGTATAAATATAATACTGCTGCAGAGGTGTGTGTGTGAGAGAGAGAGAGAGAGAGAGAGTGTATGTGTGTATGTATGTGTATGTGTGTATGTGTATGTGTATGTGTATGTGTATGTGTATGTGTATGTGTATGTGTATGTGTGTGTGTGTGTGTGTGTACCTACTGCCCCACGGTGTAGTTGATCTCCTCGTTCTCCCAGTGCACTAAGGCCACCTCGTAGGGCTGGATCTCATGACGCTCCAGGATCCTCAGAACTCTCTTCATCTGAAACACAGGTAACACACAGACGACAGGTAAACAACAACAAACAATAAACAGGAAACACAGGAGAGAGGTAAACAACAAACAATAATAAATAAACATATAGTCAATTAAATAATAAAATATATTGTTGTTTATTTACCGTTTTCTCCTCGACGTTCCAGAAAACCACGGAGCCTTCCCTGATGATCCAGAGAGGGAGAGTCAGTTATTGTTGTTCAAAATAAAGTTAAAAGTTATATATTTAACATGAAAGAATACTTTTTATATAATATTAAATGTTTCCCCTCCCTAGTCTTGAGTCATTTTAGCCAATTCATCATTTTTAAATGGTTTCTGATGCCGAACATATCTGCACCACTTAATAATACATTTGATTTATAAAGGCGCCTTTTAAAGCTCTCAAGGTCGCCGTACAAGATACAAAAAAAAACTAAAAATCACAAACACAACACAATATAATCAATAAAAACAGAGGACGTGTCATGTGATCAGCGGGTCATGTGATCAGCGGGGATATGCCAGGGTGAAGAGACATGATTTGAGAAATGTTTGGAGACACCTCGGACCTCACGTGGGGAAACTGTGGCGCATTTGTGCACGAGACGCAGCCCGCAGCGCAACATGAGCCCTACGCATGGTGCATGTTCTGGATGTACCGAGCCGCCCTGCATCCCATAATACTTTATATCTCAGAGTGTCTCCCCACCTGAAGAGGAACATCAGAGCGTTGTCGCCTGGTTTGGCCGCCATGTCCGTGCTGATCGCCAGAGCGTTGGAGGCATCTGAAAACACAATCAATAACACGTGTCATCTCAATCTTTATTTATTTATATAGCACATTTTAAACGACCTCAGACCAAAGTGCTGAACAGGCAATACATACAATATACAATAACACAATGGGAGTTAAATAATAAAACAATAATTAAAAACAAGATAAAAAGCACAGTAACTAGAAACATATAAAAACACATACAAATGTAAAAAAGTTCAGTTCTACTAAAAGCCAGTGCAAAGAGGTGAGATTTTTGCTGAGGTTGAAAAACTTCAATAGACTCATCATCAGTGGCGAGCCGTGACTTTTATACCTCGGTCCTCTGACCTAGGATATTGCATTGTGTTTGTTACTTTCGTTGCAGTTGTATGTCTTAAGTGTAAGTTGGCATGCTTTTATTTTGAAGGCGAGTTTACGCTGTTGACAGGAAGTTGTTGTTGCTATGGAAACAAGAAAAGTTTCACAGCGGGCGGAACTTGTCATAAAGTCCGCGATAATAAAACCCACCCATTTAGAGGGAAGATATGATTGGTTAATTGTACTGTCATTTGACATTACTCTCTCCTTCAGTTACTATAGCGACCCTCTGTGAATTCACAGCAGGACCAATCAGCTCCTGTCTTCACCTCGCAGAGACGAGCTTCTTTCATTTAACCCTTCACATTCCAACAGAAACTGAACAGGCAGATTCTAAGGATTTATTTATTTGGAAATGTTATTTTAAATACAATTAAATCAAGTTATTTTGGTAAAACTAATGAAGAATATAACTAAAGAAATATATTTTTTAATGTTTTTAAATATTATTTTGTAGAATAACTTAGGCCCTCAGAGAGGGCCTCGAGGGCCCTGACGGCTCGCCACTGCTCAGCAGCCATGTGTCAGATTTACATCCCATTTAATTGACTGGGAATCTGTAATGTATGAATGTTTTGGCTCAGTACCTCGAGGCAGATTGATCTCCGTGAAGCCGTGGCTGATCAGGTCGTGGCAGAGCGTCGGCAGGTGGTATTGATCCGCTGTCGCAAAGGCAATGCATCGCATCGTATCCTGCAGAGAGACAGACCATAATATTATTTATTTTTTTATTTTTATTTTTATTTTATTATTATAAAAACATTGAGATAAAATCTCATTTTCAATGCTGATCTGGCCAAGAAGGCAGCAACGTTTCACATAACACAAACATATAAAATACAGAGAACATAACTAAGAAAACAAAAGACGAAAAAGCAGTCACTACATTGTGCACCTTAATTAAAGGTAGGGTAGGTAAGAATGGAGAAAGCAGCTCGAGTGCGCTAGAATTTGAAAGTACAGAGCCGGAAAGAATGTGCCCCTTCCTTCAGACTTCCTTATAGAGCCCCTCCTCCAACACACACGAACGCGCACATGACCAATGAGGGCACGAGATAAGTTTGTGCACAGATGGAAGGCTGACAGGCAGGTAGGCCATCCAGTTACTTTAGCCGGGCCGGCTCAAATGATTGGTCGTGCTTTTTACAGTACTACGGCTTGCACAGATGATATTTTTAATGTATTTATGGTCAATGGGAATTACCAACCCACCTTTAACTATCAGTAACACTAAATCATGTCCTGCAGAGAGACATCTATTCATGAATTAACTATCAGTAACTATTCAATAGTGTCAGACAGTTTATAGATGTTGTATCTTCACAGTCATCTGTATATTTGTCTTACTCTCTAATGTTGGCTTATTTATATTTATATTTTGAGATGTTTATATTTTAGAATTGTTTATTTCTACTCTTTTAATTTGTTATTATGTGCAATGCCTTGTTTTGTTTTATGCTTTTGCAACAAACACATGTTTCCTACATTTGGATTAATAAAGTACATTTTATCAGTAAATCATGACGTGCAGCGACACCTACAGGTCAGAGGCCTGCACTACGAAGCCGGTTCAACAGACCCTGGATATGTTTGAGTTATCTTACCTAATCCAAAACAAACGCGCTCTCGCTAAGCGGTCCTACGACGCTGGTTATCAACTCGGTAACTCAAGCCAGGGTTTCTCTGTCCGGCTGAGTGCGCGTTCACATGAAAGGGGCGGGGCTAGCAACATTTGACCAATCATAAACATGGAGAAGCGTACTGACAGTGCAGCGTCATACTTCCTGAATGAAAAGTGAACTTTAATATTAGTCAAATATGAAGAAGTTAAACTTTAAACATCCATGACTTAAACACTTTATCCAGGATCAAAGCCACATAGCTGCACCTGCAAGGTGAATACAGCTGGTAACAGAAAAAGTGTTTGAATGCGTACATTAACAGGTTTATGAAATCGCTGCCCCGTCCAAGACACGATCTGACTTTAATTACATTTGACTCGAGTGTTTCGTCAACTTAATGTGTTGCTTAAAATAATACTTCTGCATACAGTATGTGACACTGTGAGTGTTGCACGGCCAGATACGGCTCAGCTGACTCAGATAAGGAAATATATGATACATTATGATGTGATATGATATGAATGATAATGGGACACATCGACGTCTGCACTCACAGTGCCGCGGACTGTACTTAATGTTACTCTGATCCGGTTACTTATGTTGTGGCAGATATTTAAGTAAGCTTTCTTAACGCTAATGTTATAATAGTCAGATTTCTCTGAAGATGGGAGGGGATATTCTATTAATGTTCACGTTCACAGTCGGTGATTTTGTCCGGCCGTCTTTCCTGCAACGGCAGTTTAAACTGTATTTCCTTTCTCCTCCTGTCATATTAATTGATCGCTTTAAACTCCGCACACTGAGCTCTGATTGGTCAGCAGGCAGTGCTTTTATCCTGGAACCTATCCTGCTCCGGAGGATAGCCGTTCAGAATAAGTTATCTAGCCCGCTAAAAAGTGAACCAGCTTCGTAGGACCGGAAACCCCTGAAGTTAGCTTGCTAAACGAAAATCTTGATTCGTAGTATAGGCCCCAGGTTAGCCGTTCAGCATAAGTTACCATGGAGATCTAGCCCGCTACATCAAATCAAATCAAGGTTTATTTATAAAGCACATTTAAAAGCGATTTTTGGTCGGGCCAAAGTGCTGTACATGTAATAACTACAATCACATAAAAACACATTTCTATAATCACAATTATAATAATTATAAATACATAATATAATAAAATAATCGCTAAAAAGAGAACCAGCGTCGTAGGACCGGAAACCCAGAGTTTTCCCTGAAGTTAGCTCACGAAGCGAAAGTCCGGCTTCGTGGTACAGGCCTCTGGCCTCAGGTCTCAGGCCTCAGGCCTCAGGTCTCAGCTGTTTCATGAGAGCGTGCACGAGGTATTTCTCCAGGTTCACTGCTAACCTCCAGTAGAAGAATAAACATTATCGATATGACACATTTATTTTTTAAATTTCAACTCAAAACCAAAGATATTATTAATTTGTTGTTGAAATGTCAAAACACTTTCCTCAAACTGTTTCAACTTCACTTATTTACCTGTAAAGACTTTATCGTTAAAGATGTAGAACTTTATTTTTGGATAATATTTGCAGTTAAATAATAATGTGATTTTATTGTTGAAATATCACAACTTTATCCCTAAAATGTTTCGCCTTATTCTGAAAATATCCCATCCTTCTTTTTTCAAAGTATCACTAAATTATTCAGAAATTGTTTTTCATTTCATGTAATCGTTTATTTGAACAGGGACCGTGCACTTTGATGAGCACTTAGGACAAAGGATGCTTCAAGTGTAAACATGCCGGATTTGAGCTCTGAGCTCATTTCCATCCGTAGTCCCTCACATACAACATATAAGAACATGACATTTATAACCATAGCAACAACAAATACATGATATGCAGAAAGAGCAAGAGCAGCACACAAGTATTTACCACCTGGCAGCACACTGTAGCAGCTAGGGTATATAAAGGGCAGGAGGAGATACCCCTGAGTTAAAGGAGAGGGGATACCCCTGAGTTAAAGGAGAGGAGATACCCCTGAGTTAAAGGAGAGGAGATACCCCTGAGTTAAAGGAGAGGAGATACCCCTGAGTTAAAAGGAGAGGAGATACCCCTGAGTTAAAGGAGAGGAGATACCCCTGAGTTAAAGGAGAGGAGATACCCCTGAGTTAAAGGAGAGGAGATACCCCTGAGTTAAAGGAGAGGAGATACCCCTGAGTTAAAGGAGAGGAGATACCCCTGAGTTAAAGGAGAGGAGATACCCTAGTTAAAGGAGAGGAGATACCCCTGAGTTAAAGGAGAGGAGATACCCCTGAGTTAAAGAGAGGAGATACCCCTGAGTTAAAAAGGAGAGGAGATACCCCTGAGTAAAGGAGAGGAGATACCCCTGAGTTAAAGGAGAGGAGATTACCCCTGATGTTAAAGGAGAGGAGATACCCCTGAGTTAAAGGAGAGGAGATACCCCTGAGTTTTTAAGGAGGGAGAATACCCCTGAGTTAAAGGAGAGGAGATACCCCTGAGTTAAAGGAGAGGGAGATACCCCTGAGTTAAAGGAGAGGAGATACCCCGGAGTTAAAGGAGAGGAGATACCCCCGAGTTACAGGAGAGGAAGATACCCCCGAGTTAAAGGAGAGGAGATACCCTGAGGTTAAGGAGAGGAGATACCCCTGAGTTAAAGGAAGAGGATACCCCTGAGTTAAAGGAGAGGAGATACCCCTGAGTTAAAAGGAGAGGGAGAATACCCCTGATTAAAGGAGAGGGGATACCCCCGAGTTAAAGGAGAGGGGATACCCCCGAGTTAAAGGAGAGGAGATACCCCTGAGTTAAAGGAGAGGGGATACCCCTGAGTTAAAGGAGAGGAGATACCCCTGAGTTAAAGGAGAGGAGATACCCCTGAGTTAAAGGAGAGGAGATACCCCCGAGTTAAAGGAGAGGAGATACCCCTGAGTTAAAGGAGAGGAGATACCCCTGAGTTAATCCCGTATCTCAGTTGTTCCAGAATGAGCTGTCTTTAATGGAGAGGACATTTTGTCCAAAAGTGGTCCGTCTGTGGTGGACTTCAGTCTCCTCTGGTTCCTGACCTAGTGCAGAGTCCAGTGTGTTTTCTGTGGATGAATTCCCCTAAGGGGGGGGGGGGGGGGGGGGCAGTCCATGTAAACATTTATAAACAAAACACATACTTTTAAAAGACTTTAAATGGTCAAAACTCAAGAAATGGTGTTTCTCAAGGATGGTGCAGTGGTGGTATGAATTAGGCTTTCTGTCAAACACCTGGGTAGCTCTCTTGTGCAGCTGTTCTATGGGTTTCAGGTGTCAGGTGTCAGGTGTCAGGTGTCAGGTGTCAGGTGTCAGGTGTCAGGTGTCAGGTGTCAGGTGTCAGGTGTCAGGTGTCAGGTGTCAGGTGTCAGGTCTTTATGCTCACAATGTAACTCCTTAGTTTTTGTCAAATAACGATGTTATCCTGCGGATTCTGAAAAGACACATGAGGGCTATTGTTGCTGCCTCCAGTACTCTGTCACATATCTTAAATCCTCACATGCATGCTGTCCCTTCAGAGTTGTCTGTCCTCACCTTGTCCACGCTGGAGGACGGCTGGTTGGTTCTGGACGGTTGTTTTGTCCTCGGTCCTTTCGGAGCTCTCTTCCCAGGAACAGCTGCTGGACTTTTTAAAATGCTCTTCACGATGTCTGGAGAATAGAAACGCCTCTGAATCCCAGAGAGGACAGGACTCTCAGGATGTCTCACATGTCTCTGAGGGACAGAGAGAGATGACACTGAGAGGAGAGGACTCTCAGGACGTCTCACATGTCTCTGAGGGACAGAGAGAGATGACACTGAGAGGAGAGGACTCTCAGGACGTCTCACATGTCTCTGAGGGACAGAGAGAGATGACACTGAGAGGAGAGGACTCTCAGGACGTCTCACATGTCTCTGAGGGACAGAGAGAGATGACACTGAGAGGAGAGGACTCTCAGGACGTCTCACATGTCTCTGAGGGACAGAGAGAGATTGACACTGAGAGGAGAGGACTCTCAGGACCGTCTCACATGTCTCTGAGGGACAGAGAGAGATGACACTGAGAGGAGAGGACTCTCAGGACGTCTCACATGTCTCTGAGGGACAGAGAGAGATGACACTGAGAGGAGAGGACTCTCAGGACGTCTCACATGTCTCTGAGGGACAGAGAGAGATGACACTGAGAGGAGAGGACTCTCAGGATGTCTCACATGTCTCTGAGGGACAGAGAGAGATGACACTGAGAGGAGAGGACTCTCAGGACGTCTCACATGTCTCTGAGGGACAGAGAGAGATGACACTGAGAGGAGAGGACTCTCAGGACGTCTCACATGTCTCTGAGGGACAGAGAGAGATGACACTGAGAGGAGAGGACTCTCAGGATGTCTCACATGTCTCTGAGGGACAGAGAGAGATGACACTGAGAGGACAGGACTCTCAGGATGTCTCACATGTCTCTGCAGAGAGTCCACATGGAGACTCTGTGAGGAGAGAGTCCTGATGGTGGAGGATCCACACAGAAAGACTGGTGTCCTCCCAGCAGGAAGACGAGCTCCCAGCATGCACCACAGCGTCCGGAGGAGCATCTCGACACCTGGAAACAAAAACAAAAGTTTAGATTTTGCACGAAAAATATCAGATTCCTGGAGGGTAACGATCAGATTCTGCGGGACAAAGTTACATTTTCAGTCTCTTACTCAGGGTTTAACGTGGAAAAACTACAAATGTTAATGAATATAAGACATGCAGCATTTTACTAATTCAAAGGCTGCAAAGGAATAAGAATATAATATACAGTATGTTTAGAGACTATACCTGATCTATGATGAATGAACAAAACCCCAGATCGAAGGAGCTGATCAGTTCTTTGATGTAATGAATATGTATGTACAGTAAGTATATGTATACAGTCTAAATACTGTATACTGTATATACAGGGTGCAGGACTGATGCTATGTTGCCATCATGACGTATGACTCTCTAGTTTAGCATGCATTATTGATCTGTGTAAAATCAGCATCTATGAGCACAGATATCAACTCTTAAATATGTAATTAAAACATCTTAAATATAATGTTAACACAGAATAAGAGTCAAACCAACAGCACTGACCTTGACTACAGTAACCAGCTTTACATATCCTCTCTCTCGTTATCAGTCTGGTTAACATTAACACGTGCAGTGTTTAATAATGTGCATAACGCAGATATTATTACAAATACAGAGTTAAACCTGCAGCTGCCTTTAAGTGAAGCTAACAGATTAGCATGCTAATGAAGCTACAATCACTCCCTGTGTGACTGTTAGCATCTTGTTAGCGTCTTGTTAGCTCACCTGTGGATGTAGACGGCAGATATTCAGCAGCTTGTTGTTTTCAATCTGCTTCAAAGTGTCACAAAACGTTTTAAAATGTTAAAATAAAACAGTAAAAATAACATCTCTGAAACATGCCTTCCTGCTGGAGGTGACGTAAATCACGTAATGACGTAGATGCGTAATTCGTCGTTCCTAGAATGATGACTGGCAGGCTGACGGGCTCTTTTGCGAATGTGTATTTTTTAAATGTTAGGCTAAAAATTTATATTATACAAACTTTGACTTATTGTGTTAGTCTTGAAGAACCTCCTCTGGTAATTTGTTTTAATAATAATTGCACACACACCTCAGTCTGAGCTCCTCTCCTCAGGCTTCTTGGTTTCCTGTAAGTCTGAACTCAGGGTAAAAAACGGCCTCTATTGACCTTCAGCTCCATCAGATCCTCGCTTCAACGCTATTTCACACATTTATCAATATATGTTTATACCTCCAGCAATGTTAACTATGTTGAAGCACTTATTTTAACTGATATTATACATATGTATTACTCTTATAAGATGTATGTAGATAGTATAAGAAATGTGCAGAATATGACAGTTTAATGGTGGAGGTATACACACATATTGATAGATGTCTTGTAATGCACTGTTGAGGAACCTGCGACCCAAGTTTTCATTCATTGCATAACTACACCGTAGTTGTGTATAATATGATATGTCAATAAACCTTAGAAAATCTTGAAATCTTGAAAGGGATGTGCAAAATAGTCATTATATACAGTCTTTAATTAAAGGTAGGGTAGGTAAGTTTGAGAAACCGGCTCGAGATACACTTTTTGTTATATTCCATGGAATGCTCTTAACATCCCGATAGCAATAAATATCTTAAAGTGCTTTGACAAAAAATCCATAAAAAAATGTCATCTGTGGAAGCCGTAGTACTGTAAAAAGCACGACCAATCATTTTAGCCAGCCCGGCTAAAATAACTGGATGGCCACGCGTTCGTGTGTGTTGGAGGAGGGGCTCTGTAAGGAAGTGGCAGATTTTTTCCTGCTGTGTATTTTCAAATTCTAGCGATCTCGAGCTGGTTTCTCCAAAATGACCTACCCCACCTTTAACTATTAGTAGAGAATAACGAGTAATGAATATACTTTATAGGGATCCTATTAATATCTAATAATACAAATAATAAAATGCAATAACGTGCTTTAACCAGTAGGTGTCCCTTTCTATCAGCTATGCACCGTTATGGTGTAAATACAGCCTATCTACCAATTGGATCAATTATAAAAGTCAGCCGAATTAGAGTTGATACTGCAAGGAGACTTATTGTGTGAAAATATATCTAAGATGTTGTTTAATTGCTGATATATTTATGATCCACGTCACGTTTTCAGTTTTGGCGGCAGTTCTTCCTGTTTTCAGATAATAAACACCATTTCCCAACGTGCATTGCGGCTAAACCGTCCAATCACCGAGCTGAGGATCTTGCATACGTCTGTTTCCGGTGTTTATGACGATGTG